CCAAAGCCTGCAAACTCGTGTGTATGCCAGCTTTGCACGACGATCCGCACCTGCACGTGCTGTAGGTCCCACCACTCGCCATCCGAACCTAAATGTGATCTCTGAACGAGCAAAGAGAGGCAAAGTGTAACCACGTGTCCTCCTCCGAAAGATTTTTTCTCTCCCGAGTGAGGCTGCGTTGTGTTCCTTTTTAGTGGTGCCTTTGTGTGTCAAGCTGATGTGGCATGTCTAGACCGAAACTGGCTAAAAAGACGGGCAAAGGCATTTGTTTGTTCTGCGTGATTCTCTCCATCCTTTGACGACATTCTTTTCCTTTCTCCCCCCTTTTCTCTTTTTTCTTTTCTTTTTCTTTGTCGTATAAACCCGGCAAGCGAGAACCTTCATCTCCATCGTGAAGGATCCACGACTGACGTATCACGATTCACCAGTTCAAGATTCAAGAATACAGGCCACGATGATGATCAGTGGCAGATTTATGTGTCTGGCTGTATGCCTGAATGTGGCAGCGACGCTGCCAGCTGCAGTCGACGCACTTCCGGCAGCTCCTTGGAAGGGAAACCCTCAATCTGGAGGTCCTTGCAAGATCATCACGATTTCGTCGCCGGGTAGCCCTGGTGCGCAGTACTCTGACGAAGCAGTCGCTGGTCTTGTCTGCTGCGCTTCGAATGCGTGAGTATCCTACCTTACAATCGCAGTGTTTCTTCCATTTCATGCTTGGATAAATTTGTTTCTCTGAAAGCTCACAATTTGTGATTTTTTCGACCTCGATCGTTCTTCCTTCTTCCCTCTTCCCTCTTCCCTCTTCCCTACTTTGCATGGGATTGATGCAGCCATGCATCCAACGGGGTGTTAAAGACTCCCGACGACTACAACGTCAAAACAGGGAACGAGCACTGCGTCTCGGCCCCCCGAATCAGTTCCAAAGTCGCTAGAGGCAATCGTGCCAAACGAGACGCGGATGAGGGTAGCGGTAGCCAAGGAGGCAAAGGCTTCCCTAGCTTCCCACCCGTCACTCCCCCTCGCCCGGATCACGGCGGGAAATGCCCTCCTGGCCAAGACTGTACCCATCCGCTGCCAAAGCATGCCCCTGGTATGGTATGAACTAGGGCCGTTGTTTGTGTTCAAACGGTGGGAAATGATCCTGCATTACCTCGGTTTCTCGTTTTCTCTCGGAGCATTCTGGCTGCGTGGTGTCCAGGCCCAAGGGCCGAAGGTTTTGCGCTTCTTCCTGCTTGAATCTGCTCGTGGACTCGTCAGACTGTGTATTGCAGTCTGTAAGGGGTAGCTCGGCGTATGAACCACCAACACTTTCAATTCCGCATCTCTCCGTCTCTGTCTCTCCCCTTCTGTGTCTCTGTATAGAGCAAAAAAATGCAAAAGTTTTCATCTTCACCCCCTTGCTTCCCTACAGCCATCGAACGACCGAATGTGGAAAGAAAAAAAAGCTGCAAGTCGCCGGTGGCTGAGAAGCTAAGTCTGGGGTCTTTGAAATGGAAATGAAAGGACACGTCAGCTTGTCAGGAACATGTTGCCATGGAAAAGTAAAGCGAGATCTAGTCGGATGAAATGAATGCCAGCAAGACCATCCGAGGCGGACGGGTGAGTCGCCCACGTGCCGACATTT